GTGTGTGTTAGGGGTATCTGTGGAGATTTGTGTAACAACCATCCAGATAAAGCCAGTTCTTTGATTGTTGATTTGTGTCAGACAATGGCCTTGGGCTGCCAGGGCCAGGACTATTTTGTTTTGTTCTTTTCCTGAATAAATGTGGACTCCTCGTTTTCAGGGAAAAATCTCCAAAAATCTTGCCAGATATTCTGAAGAAAATTGGGGACACCCCTATGATCAGAATCAACAAGATTGGGAAGAAGTTCGGCCTGAAGTGTGAGCTCCGTGAGTGCCCTAGCTTTTGAGAGGGGCTTCCTCCATCCACGCTGGGCTCCGTGGGCCTGGGGGTCCTGGGGGTCCTGGGATGGGTCCCTTAGGCAAGGCCCCGGGATCAGAAAACACGCTGGTTAATGAGTGGCCGAGGTCATATCAGTTTAAGTTTGGGAAAAACACACGACAGGGCGTTGTGTCAGACGGTGACCAAAGTGGCTTCCCCACTGATGGACCAGGGAACGAACAGGTGACCTTTGAACTGAGGCTGGAGTGGAAGGAGCGAGGGTGTGAAGAGCGGGGTGAGGGTCAAAGGCAGAAGCAAGCAGGTGGGGAGGGTCTGCGTCCTGCCTCCTAGAGAGACGCGGACGGGTCCTAGCACGAGCTGTGAGCCACCCACTGCCCAGGGAGCGGTTGCCTCTGTCTTGCCAGCTTCGTGGGGACAGACAGTTCAGCTCATCATTTATGAGACAGAGAATGGAAATTTGGAGGGTCTGTGGCTGGCCTCGTCCTGGGTACACAGGGGTCACCTGAGGTCCGGTGTGAGCCCTCCGGGGAGGGGCAGTTCTTTGTAGGACGCAGTTTCCAGGCTCAAGAGGGTGGAAGAAATTCGTAAGGGTCGCTCTTCACCAGGAGCTCAGGGCCCTGGTAGACCTCAGCATCGTCACGGAGAAAGCTGTGGGTGCAGAGGCCTTGGGGACAAGGCGGGGACGGAATTTCATATTTCAGAGGACCGAGGCCAAGGGAGTTCGCAGGGCGGCAGCACAGGTGCCGTGGAGAACCCTGAGACAGGGCCAGATGGAGGGGGTGCAGTTTGAGTGGGAAGGAGAGGGAACCAGTAACATGGCTTGGGACTTTTTCATCCTGAAATGCTGTCATGTACAGCCGGGGGACCTGTGAGAGCTGGGGCAGGCGCTGGGGGAAGGAAGCCAGGGGTCGGTGCATTGGGAACTGATGGCAGATTCACAGGAGGGGCCTGCTGGGAGCCTGGCCCTCCTCTACCCCTCTAGGGAAGGAATTCTCAGAGCTACATCAGAGCAGCCCCTTTTACAGAGACCCCCCAAGGCAGCAGGGCCGGCTCTGTGTTTATTTGTCAGACAGTAAGGACCCTTGGACGCAGCAAGCATGGCTGCCCGCAGTGCTATGTACAGGACGGCGTCTAAACTTGGCAGTTGCCCTCGAAGTAGGTTTGGGAACGCCTGTTTTACAGACAGACACACCGAGGGTCAGGTCAGTCACGTGGCTTGCCCGAGGCCACCCAGCTCTGATTTCTGCTTCGGAGCTGGCCCCCAGGCACTGGTGAGAAAGATCTCACTGAGGGCTTCACAGTATGGGACCCAGAGGGGTCCGGAAATGCAGACCTGCGGCGGGCCAGACGCCGGGAGTCCTCCCCACCACACAGCACCTCGGCCTGGCTCTAGGGGCAACACTTGTCTGGTGGTGGCTTTCAGAAGTTTTGAGGTGTTGCGGGCTGGTCCCAGGTCCCTCAAATCACATTTCATGTAGCCCAGTCTCTCTCTCTCTCTCTTAAAAACTAAATATTTTTAAGAGCTGGAGAGGGAGGGAGGACCTGCAATAAGAAAAGAAGTGCAGACCGGGCACGGTGGCTCACGCCTGTAATCCCAGCACTTTGAGGGGCTGAGGCGGGCGGATCACGAGGTCAACAGATCAAGACCATCCTGGCTAATACAGTGAAACCCCATCTCTACTAAAAATACAAAACAAATTAGCCGGGCGTGGTGGTGGCGCCTGTAGTCCCAGCTACTAGGGAGGCTGAGGCAGGAAAATGGCGTGAACCCGGGAGGCGGAGCTTGCAGTGAGCCAAGATCGCACCACTGCACTCCAGCCTGGGCAATAGAGCAAGACTCCGTCTCAAAAAAAAAAAAAAAAGAAGGAACGACGTGCAAGTGAAGGCCTTGGTCTTGTGCGGGGACCGCGCAGGGAACCCTTTCCAGGGCAGGTGACGCCCCACAGGGGAAGGAGGACAATGGGAGGCTGTAGGGAGAGTTTGCAAGTCCCCATCCGATGGGGCTGGGATGTGGCCAGTGCCGTGGCTTCAGGACATCAAGCTGCTTTGGCAGGGGCTGCCGGGTATGGCTGGGCATGGGCGTAGGGGACCCAAATCCAGGCGCCCGCCTGCCACACGCCCAGCTTGTGGGTGGGGGGATGGGGTTTTCTGTGGTGCCCCTCCGTGAGGGCTGCTTATGCCTCTGTGGTTCCCACAGAGTTGCTCTGTGCCCCGCAGGGCTGGTAGGATGGGCTGCAGGGGGAGAAGCTCTGATGGGCGAGCGCCCAGGTGCAGGTGTAGGGGAGGTGAGTGGAGAGGTGGCAATTTTTCAGAACCCACAGGCCCCCAAGCCCATCCCCCATCCTGGGGTGTATCAGGTAATGGGGGGTGAGCAGGAATCACTGGGGGGCGGTCAGGGAATCTTCTCCTCTGTGATTCATCTCTGCCTCCCAGTGGCCAAGTGTGAATTCTTCAACGCGGGAGGGAGCGTGAAGGACCGCATCAGCCTGCGGATGATTGAGGATGCTGAGCGCGCCGGGACGCTGAAGCCCGGGGACACGATTATCGAGCCGACATCTGGGAACACCGGTGGGTGCCTGGCCCAGTAGGGGTGGCCAGGCTGGCTGTCCCCTACCCATGCTGAGCCTGCCGGAACCCAGGGGGGATGGCTGAGCTACAGCTGCATGTGCTGGCCCACCCGGCCGCCTGCTCCCTGGCATCTCACGCCCGCTGCGGGCGTGTGTCCCAGCCCAGCTCCCTCTGACCAGCAGTTGGGGCCAGTGCCGATGCTGTTGGGGCGATGGCACCTGGCAGTGCCTGGCACATGGACGAGCACCCAGAGTCTGCTGTTCCTGTGCCCATGTACCCGGCCCTGCCTGGAAGAACCAGATCTCCCGTCCTGCACTGCTCCCTCCTCCTCCTTGGCGTGTATCTTTTATTCCCGCCTCTGGCAGCCTCTCTTCCCCTGCACTTGAAGGCAGAAGCAGCTATGTTGGGCAATTTTGGAATCCCACAGAACCCTCTTCCCTGGGCCCTAGGGGAGCCGGCATCAGGGTGTGCCCCTATGTCCCAGGCAGGGGTAGGGCGGGACTTGGAGGGGCACCGGGCCCCTCTCATTCTCTCTGTGCCTTCAGGGATTGGGCTGGCCCTGACTGCAGCTGTGAGGGGCTATCGCTGCATCATCGTGATGCCGGAGAAGATGAGCTCGGAGAAGGTGTGTGGGCACAGCCAGGGGCGGGGTCATAGGGCAGGGGATGAGGGTGCCTGGGCCACGCAAAAGGTGCAGGCCACCGCCTTCCCTCCTGCAGGTGGATGTGCTGCGGGCCCTGGGGGCTGAGATTGTGAGGACGCCCACCAATGCCAGGTTCGACTCCCCAGAGTCACACGTGGGCGTGGCCTGGCGGCTGAAGAATGAAATCCCCAATTCTCACATCCTAGACCAGGTGAGGCGCCTGGGGCCTGGAGACGGGCATTCCCTAGGAGGGTCTCGGTCAGGGATGTGGGGGTGACTGAGGTGTCAGGGGCCAGCTCACGGGCTCTGCTTTCTTTCTATGCAGTACCGCAACGCCAGCAACCCCCTGGCTCACTACGACACCACCGCTGATGAGATCCTGCGGCAGTGTGACGGTGCGTCCCTCTGTCCATCTTGATTGCATTTATCCCTGGCTGCCTGGGAGTGTACAAATCTCTTGCCATCTCCTTGGTGAACTCCTATTCACCCTTCAAAACCCAGCTCAAATGTTCCCTCTGTGAAATGCTATCTAGAGCATTTCTCTAGAACAGTTTCCTCCCTCCCTTGTGCTCTCTTGGCCTCTGCCTGTGCCTTACCTGTAACAATCTCTGCAGGTCTGCAGGGGCTCCTCCCACAGAGAATGTAGGGAGTGAGTCTGTTCAGGGCCCAGGCTGGTGCTGGGCTCACAGCTGGGACTTCAGCTGGGATCATGCCCTGACTCGGCATCAAATTCCTCTGCAGAACAGGGCTGGTGACATCTGCGATGAGTTCACTCTGTTACAGGCATGAGGCCGGCTCCTTGGGCCCTTCTCCAGGGACTCGGTGCCAAGGCCTGTGGGGGTTGGTACTGATGTTTTCCCAAGAGATTCCTTTAGAGAGAAATTGCCAGGAGGTTGGCGCCCTGGCTTCCTGTTGGGAATCCGGTGTTGGCATGGGCTGGAGCACACCCTCAGTCCATGCCCAGGAGCCAGGCTGTACGGTCCAGGCATTTGCTTGTTTGGGCTTTATGTGTGAGAACTCTCTGGTTTGGCAAAAGCAGTCCTGTCTCAGCATGGGTGCCCGAGCGGCTCCCCCTCACTGAGTCTTTCCCTGCCATGGCTTGTCTGCCAGATGCCTGTGCTGGCCGCCAGCAGTGTGAGTGCCCAGCGAGTTTCTGAGCTGAAGCCTGAACGACTGATTCCATTTCCTGTGCCAATTCAGTTAACTCACTCACACCATGCAAACATCCAACAGCCCATGGAGGTGATTAATTCGCAGCCTCCCTCTGCCCGCCCTCAGCGCCTGCACCCCCAGACAGGGCCCTGTCTTTCTGCATCCAGCCAAATGGGGGTTTTAGGGGCCGAGTGTCATTGAGCAAAGACTGGGCTGGGGTGCCCCAGGCTGCCTGTTTCTGAGGCTTTCACAGACCAAGGGCAGCAATGAGGGCCACTCCAACTGGAGAAGAAGTCTTTCTTTTGAGCTTTTTGGTCACCCGCCGTGGTTTGGGCTGTGTGTGTTTTCAATGATTATTACTATGAGTGATGGGCTGGCCAGGTGAGGACCTGAAAATGTTATCCATCCACCAGGGAAGCTGGACATGCTGGTGGCTTCAGTGGGCACGGGTGGCACCATCACGGGCATTGCCAGGAAGCTGAAGGAGAAGTGTCCTGGATGCAGGGTGAGTGGTGTGACCGGACCCGGGAGGGGCAGCGTGGACTGGCCCCGACTTCTGAACTGAAAGCTCTCATTCCTCACCATCTGCTCAGCCCACTGTCTTCCGCGGTATTTCCACACTTCTTGGGAGGTGTTTGGAAAGACGGTGCTTGACAGATAAGGGACCAGCAGCTCGTGACCCGAAGGAGCTGGGGCTGGGTGCTCGCTCACTGGCCAGTGTCTTGGAGGGGCTTCCTGCGCTGAGTGGGGGGTTGGAGTTCCATCTAAGGGCTCTGATAATCAGCCAGGAGCTCTAAGTCCTCTGGTCCTGAGTCTGCCCCTCGCCTGGGGTTTGAGGGAGCTGGGGGAGGGTTCCTGGACTCAGGGTTAAGAGCAGGTCTGAGGTGCCTAGAAAGGTCCCACTGATGAGACAAGAGTGTTATCTCCCTGTTGCTTGCCCTTGAAAAAGACATCACTGCCCAACAATGCCCTTTGTCCCCGAAGGCTCTGGTGCTTCACCGCAGGGTGGTCTGTCTGGGCTGTCCTGGGGGCCCCGCTCCGAGAAGCCCCCGGGGAGGTCACTTCCTCCCAGACATGCGCTTTCACTTCTGAGCGCCGTGCACTGAACGTTTAGTTCAGACGAGGTCATTATCACTTTAATACTTGGGGGCTGGGTTCCTGGGTTTCTCGTCCTGCCTCGGAGGCCGGGAACTGGCCACCACCCATGGGCGGAGTGTTAACAGGCGCTTGTTCACGGCAGTATTGGCCACTCCAGTGATAGAATAGTCAGGCATGTCCAGCGGGGGCTTTTGCTGGCCCTGAGCCCTGAAGCTGCACGCTCTGCAGATCATTGGGGTGGATCCCGAAGGGTCCATCCTCGCGGAGCCAGAGGAGCTGAACCAGACAGAGCAGACAACCTACGAGGTGGAAGGGATCGGCTATGACTTCATTCCCACGGTGCTGGACAGGACGGTAGGTCGAGTCCTGAGCCCGGCCGCAGTGCAGCCTGTAACTCACCCTCACACTGGAGAGCCTGGCTGACCCTGGGCCCCAACCGGCTCCTCCGCTGAGGGGAACAGAAGGGCAAGCCCCGGCACGCGTGGTGAGAAGCTGATCTCGCAGGTCGAGACAAAGTAGACTGGGGGACGATGTCTGCACATGTGGCCTGACCTCACCAAGGGATGCAGCCCGGGTGGCACAGGCAGGGAGCAGGGAAAACGTGGGAAAATTAAGGCCCCAGAAAACTCTGTTAAGAGGCAAAAAGGTGGATTTGGCCTGAGTGAGAGCGGAGACCAAAGGGCCCCTGCAGGTCACAGGGATGCTCAGTGGGGCTGGCGGGCAGTTTTACTGTCTGCAAAACATGTTAGAACTGGAAGGTCTGCAGACGTGCCGATCCCAGAGGGAGAGGCTGGGGCGTGACCTCTGGGGTCCTGCTACCTAGACACGGGGTCCACCACAAGGCTGTTCACCCCCTTGGCCACGTGGAAGCGGCTCCCACACTGACGGGCTGTGGGGGGTCCCGCTCAGGTGGTGGACAAATGGTTCAAGAGTAACGACGAGGAGGCGTTCACCTTTGCCCGCATGCTCATCGCGCAAGAGGGGCTGCTGTGTGGTGAGTGGGTGGCAGGCACGGGGGTAGGGGGATGGCAGAGATGGATGGGGGCACCAGGGATGGCTGGGGGCGCACCCTCTGCCAGCCACCAGCCTGCATGTGTAAGACAGCAGTTCTGAGGAGTGTCACTGCTGTGGCCACGAGCCTCAGGTGTTATCTGTCTGCCTGGGTCCTCACCTGCCCAGTGTGGTCACCTGCTCAGGTGAGGGCAGGAGGCCACGGGGCAGGGCTTCCAGCTGCCTTCCAGAATGTGTTTCTAGAACAAGGCTGAAGCTCTCATGGCACTTACTGTTTCTAATCAAGCCCACCAGGGCCCCTGGGGCAGTGGCTCTGCACTGACGGGGCCCATGGCCAGGACTGGGTGCTGCGAGCACCCTGGAACAGCTGGGGAGGGGCTCTGGAGCCTGAGGCTGTCCAGGATCGACCCCACTGACCTTCCTCCCACCCCGTGCCCCTCTGCCCACCTGCTTGGGGGCTGGCAATGCCACTGACCAGCCACACAGGCAGCAGAGGCTGTAGGGACCACAATTGATCTGGACATCTGGGGACTCGGAGAGCACACACCAGCTTCTAAAACCCAGGCAGGGACATATGAGGTTTTTACTTGTGCATTCCCTGTGTCATGTCACTTTGCAGGTGGTGACAGGGAAAGTGGAAGGAAACCAGCCCTCAGTGTGGGGGATAGCTGAGCCCCAAACTAGAGACTGGAAGCAAGTCTTGATTGAAAAGCCATTTCCTAGCCAGGCGCGGTGGCTCATGCCTATAATCCCAGCACTTTAGGAGGTTGAGGCGGGCAGATCACCTGAGGTCAGGAGTTCAAGACCAGCCTGGCCAACATGGTGAAACCCCATCTCTACTAAAATACATACACACAAAATTAGCCGGGCGTGGTGGTGCACGCCTGTAATCCAAGCTACTCAGGAGGCTGAGGCAGGAGAATTGCTTGAACCTGGGAGGTGGAGGTTGCAGTGAGCTGAGATTGTGCCACTGCACTCCAGCCTGGGCAACAGAGCAAAAACTCCATCTCAAAAAAAAAAAAAGAAAAGAAAAGAAAACCATTTCCCAGATGTGTCTGTCATCTGTCATGAAAGGTGTCTTGGTGCCCATAAACGCTGCGCTCTCCCCATCTCAGTCTCCCTGTTCCCCGTGTTGGTGGAGAAACAAGCCCCTACCTTTGGGGCTGGAAAGCAGGTCCATGGGCCCCGTTACAGAGGAGCGCACCTCTCTTCCTGCGGGTGCTCCTGGTGCAGACTTAGACCTTCCCGACTGCTGTGTCTAAGCCCGGAGAAGACGCCTCAGACTCTGACTTCAGGGATCCTAGGCACAGCTGGTGTCACCGTGAGCTTTGGCCTCTTGTTTATAAAGCAGAGCCCAGTGTGCAGTCAGGCAGCCTGCAGGCGTGGTGCTGCAGGCGTGGTGCTGGGGACTCCGTCCTCAGAGCATCGCTGGCTCTCGGCTCAGGGCCAGGAGATGTGCCAGGGGCCGCAGCCCCACCGCAGGCATTTTCCTGGCACCAGTGCCCACCCCAGCCTAGCAGGAGCCCCTTTTGCTCCCGGATCTTTTGTTTCCTGGGTGTGGGTTTCGTTATGAAGCCCCGAGTGGACATGAAAACTCCATGGTGCACAAGGAGGAAGCCGATGCTCACGGAGAAGTGGGGTCCTCCCAGCCCCTCTCCCCGAGGCAGCCCCTCTTGACGGATCCTTCCGAGCATGTCTGACATGCTTCCATGCATGCAGGTGCACAATTCATGCACTCACGTGCACCCATGCACACTCACCCTGGCGCGTCTGACTCGTGTGCACAATTCATGCACATGCGTGCACCCACACGCACGCACCTTGGTGCGTCCGACTCATGGCCCTCTCTGCAGGTGGCAGTGCTGGCAGCACGATGGCGGTGGCCGTGAAGGCCGCGCAGGAGCTGCAGGAGGGCCAGCGCTGCGTGGTCATTCTGCCCGACTCGGTGCGAAACTACATGTAAGACATGGCTTCCCTCCCAGGTCCCTGCTCCTCTCTGTCCTGCCACCCTTCCCTGGATGCCTCACCTGAGAGCCGGCAGCCAGAGCTGGGAGGGAAGGAAGCCAGCGGGGCCCTGTGAGCACTGCCTCCTCTCTCCTGCCCGGGTGCCCTCATGCTGTTGGGCTTCCCAGCCCCTTAATGCTGTGAAAATCAATGCACGTTCACAGGGACAGCCCTGATGGGAGGGGCATGGAAGGCCCTCTCTATCCCTCCTGTCCGTCCCTCTCTGGTGTCTGACCCCTCACTGCTCTGGGGTGCGTGAGCTCCAGGGGGTAGCCCTGGCCACATGGACTGACATCCTCTTGGGCCGGGCCCTGTGCCACCTCCTATCCACCCCGACTCCCTCTGCTGCTTCCCCCAAACTCCAGGCTGGGACCGAGTGCTGCCCGGGTGGCAAGAACGCTGCTGCCCTCGTGGCAAGAGCCCTGCTGCCCAGGTGGCCCCCTAGGACGTGCTGTGACTGTTTTGCCCAGAGGCCCCTCGGGCAGTAATGCCACAGACCTCGCTGGTCACCGGGCAGCCGGGCTGAGACTGGGGCTGCTCTGCACCTGCTCTCTGGGGGCGGCACCAGGGCGGGTGTCTAGAGACCCCCATGCCCTGCCCCCTGCACCTGAAGGGTTTCCTCCATGGCCTGCAAGCTGCAGGGGCTACACAGCTCCCGAGAGCTCAGCTGTCCTTGGGGGGCCCAGGCCTGGCTGGTGGGTGCCCCCGGTTGAGTTCCCCGGTGTGAGGTGATTCACATCTGGTGCCCAGCGCCAAGTTGGCCTGTGCAGGGCTCCTGCCCACCCCCGTCAGTGCAAGAACACCATCTCCCCACACACTTGGCCAGCTTGCCATGCGTGCCCGTGCATGTGTGAGTGTGCGAGCGGCAAGCATGACAGGACGTGTTTGTTTGAGTGCCTGAGCGATGGCTGTGTGCATGCTCACACATGCTCACACACGCTTGTTGGCCATGGGGGGCAGGAAGTCCAGCCCACAGGCTTCCCCCTGGGACCTCCAGCCAGCACCTGGGGGTCTCTGCTGCACCAGTGAGGTCCAGGAGAGGGGCTGGGCAGGCAGTGCTGCCCCTCAGCATGGGTGGAGGCCCAGTGGGGCCCTGCGGGGCCCTGGTGACTCCCCCATCCCGCAGGACCAAGTTCCTGAGCGACAGGTGGATGCTGCAGAAGGGCTTTCTGAAGGAGGAGGACCTCATGGA